AACTGAAGCAGAGGCAAATTGAATGCCGCGCTAGGCAAACAGAAGCAAAGCTTTTCAGCTCAGTTGTCCACCAGCTTCTTCCCCAATGCCCAGCAGTGGAGAAGGCCAAGGACTGTAACTGAAAACTCTCTGGACGACTTGTTTACATGAATATCCACTCACAAAATAACCCATTTGATACACCATAGGAGATATTTATTCCTAGATTATGAAAGCACTCTCTTCTATCCAAAATAACTTCTTGTCCAAAATGTCTCCTCATTTGATTTCAAACCCTCTTCATAGTCTCAGTGTCACCTCCATTTATCCCTGCTGTGTATAGGTGATTTGAAAGGCATTAAAGAATGCAGCTCAGAGCTCCATGGATGCAATTATTGTCACATGCGTCTCCTCTCTAACCACTAGAAACTGTATGCTGCCCCAATGATTTGTTACTGCATTTGTACTTCATTTTCTCATTATTCTATTTTTTTCTGTCAAACAGACCCACAGTATTCTTCATGTAATCACCCAGGCCTGTCTTTCAGTAAACAAAGTAACTGACGGCCCCCAACATCCCACTGTGGAAACATGCAATGATAGTGCTTTGCAAAAATGGTGACTAAGAAACTATACAAGAAAAGAAGTTTTTAAAAATATTTCTGGGAGTGCTACTGATTACTTTCTCTAATAATTTTAGAAATTTGTTATAGAATTTATTAAATTTATTTTGGTGCTTGGATTATGTTTGATTATTGGAATCTCAAAGCACAAGGTAAATTACATGTGTTATTTTTCCCTGGAGTTACTTTGCTGTCTTTTATTTCTCAGCTGCTCATTAATTTGGAGACTGCATGTGTTAAGTAATGTTTAGTTTAGCTTTAATTAATATATATTTTTGAGTTGTTATTTCGAGTATATCTCTACAAAAACATAACTGGTAGAATATATTATGAAATATGTTGCTCTTTTAGTATAATAATAACCATGTCTATAGGGCAATAGATTTGCACTAAAACTGGAAAAAAGGAACAATAAAAAACTAGCATAAGTGGACAATAAGAGGTTTCTGAAACACAGATTAACTTTTTAGTTTTTATTTAGATGATTTTACTGTATGCAGATATAACTTTCATAAATCTTGAAATTATTTTAATTTGAAAAACTAAGCAAACACATTAAAGGCTAAGTATGGTGTAATTTTTCAATACTTCTATGAAGAAAACTTCTGAGTATTTCTTTGTGATTGGTGATGTGATGCAGCAATTAATACTTTTTCAAAATGGTAACTTTAATCTCTCACTTGCATGATATGTGACTACCTTCTCAGCAAGTAGTGAAATGACTCTTTATTCAGTTCAGATCAATAAACTGGTTTGGAATTTTTGCAAAGAAGCCCATGTTCTAGTTCTTGGCTATAAGGGATTTACTGTCCAGTAAATAAGTGATTTTGCATTGTCTAGTATCTTATCACCATAGGAAAACACATGAGAGGTTAGGGGACATTTTGTGGTTTGCATGAATGAGCTAAAGATTGTTGGAAGGACACAGCTGAGCTTGAAATGTTGTGACACAACTGGAAATGAAAGTATGGAGAGCAGAAGGTAGTAGGGAAGTTGTTTTGAGTGAAACTACATTTGAAATAGGACATTCAGAATGGAACATGTAAAAGTTGGAGTAGTCCACAAACTGTACATGAAAAAGAATTGTATACAAGGCAATTCACATGTGTTTAAGGCTATATACCCTACCTAGTATGTGCAATGTCCCAAAAGGGAATTTAAGCTTCACTAAACATTTAATTTCACAAATCTACTTACAGAGTTCTAGGGCAGAGACCATGGTTTCTTCTCTTAAGAGGACAACTTGCAGCATTTCCCACAGTGGTCCTTACAACCTTCTGGAAGTTGGCATCCCCACGGATGGCAGACTGGTACAAAGTTATGACACCCACATCAGGCAGATGCAGAAACCATACTGGCTTAATAGCCTCCTCCTCACCTGAGATGATTCCACTGGTAACAGCTTAGTAGGCGTAGCTCCTAAGAGCCTAATGGGATGTACAAAATTGTTTTTACACTGAGACAAGTTCCCCAAATTTGTCTTCCTATCAGATATTCGCATGTGGTTTTTCAGACAAGATGCAGTTGATCAATCAGAGGTCCTTTTTACCATAAACTGTATTGCTTAGCAACAAAGTTAACAATTTTATCTTTTTGTAGATGCCCAGGGGTCACAGTTAATTGTCTCAAGGTCAGTTTTTAAGCAGAAGGAGAAAAGATATGTGTAAGCAGTTTTAATGTATAATTCAGAATTTTCTGACGAAGAATATGATTTCTAACAAAGATTGAGTGGTGTCCCCAAGTGTTCACAGCTAGTTAGTTGGGGAGTAGAATTCACACTTAGGTCTTTTTAAGCTTAGCATGTCTGGTTTTCCACGGTATAACATCAAGAAGGAGAATTTTTGACTGATTATTTTAGTCTGTCCTACAGTGGAAATACTTCTTCATTTTAAGGAAAGTTGATAGGAATATTTTAAAATTATTTGTATTGGTGCATGTTTTCAGAGCATGATTGTATTCCTGGTGGGGAGTTGGTGCATGCACATATATTTTAATTATTTTTTCATCCTCTTCCTCTCTCTCCTTGCTCCCTTTATCTCCTGCTCTCCTTGCTTCCATCTCCATATTTCCAAATTTTGAGTTTCTCATATAGAAACTATATAATATACAATCTTGTGCGTCTGATTTATTTCAATTAACTTTATGGTCTCAAAGTGCATCCATTTTCCTACAAATGACCCAGGTTTATCCTTCTTTATAGCACAGTAGTGTTCTATTGTGTATATATACTGCATGTTCTTTATCCATTCATCTATTGATGGACACGTAGATCACTTCTAAGGTTTAACTATTATGAGTTGTGCTGCTATAAATACAGGTATGCATGTTTTTCTGTTATATGGTATTTTTAATTCTTTCAGTAAGATACCTAGAAAAAGAATAGCTGGGTTGAATGGAATTTATATTTTTAGTTTTTTGAGGGATCATACTAATTTCCATGGTGGTTTGTAATAGTTTACATTGCCAACAATTTGGAAGGGTTCCTTTCCCCCCACATCCTCAGATTGTCATTTTCTGTATCATTAGTAACACTTATTCAATATGATCCTTAAAGAAAAATAATTTCACCAGCCCTGATGGTGCATGACTGTAATCCGAGCACTCTGGAATCTGAGGCAGGAGGATTTCCTAGAGGTTAAACCCAGCCTGGGCTACATAGTGAATTCACAGCCATCCTTATCTGTGTAATGAGACCCTGTGTCATATAAGCAAAAGAAAGAAAGAAAGAAAGAAAGAAAGAAAGAAAGAAAGAAAGAAAGAAAGAAAGAGAGAGAGAAAGAGAAAAAGAATCTCAAGGTACTTATAAAAATTATAACCTGAAGTAGCAGCAAATTGATCAAAGCATTCAAAGACTGTGATTTATGATCAGATTCGGATAAAGTACTGGCTGTGCTTTCCACAGCAGCACAATGGGAAATAGCACACTGGATATATGTAAAGATCATACATGTCTTTAAAGGCTCTAATAGAAGAGTGCAATAGTAAGTGACTTTTTGAAATGTATATGTATACATATATGTATGTATGACCGCAGGTATGTAGCAAAAATGAATGATTTTTTTTTGTTGACTTTAACTAGAATGTTTCAGAAAACATTATTTATTTTTGATATCTTTTTTGTTTGTTGGAACTGGTTGGTTATTGAATTTTGGGTATCATAAGAATAGATCAAACAAGTTCTTCCCTATCTTGTGCAATTTCTGAAAAAAGGAATTCATTGTTTAGTATAAATGGCTCGATTCCATGACTGAAAGCAACAGCAAAGGCCTCAATCTTGAAATATCCTTTACTTCTAATAGCTTTGCTCTTTTAATATCCTGTTTGTTGTTTATTAGGCATCCTCTACACCACCTACTCTCTATTCCTTCTTGATTCACAGTGCAGTCCTATGTGTTTTCAGTCTTAACCTAAACAAAATTACAATTGCCCAAGTATTGTTTCTCTATTATTTTTATCAAGTCCCCTGTTCATTTGTTTTCTAGCATTTTTCAATATAGTATCAAAAACCAAAATAATAATAATAGTAATAATAATAATAATAAAATAATAATATGAATGAAAAGATGTTTGTCTACCTTTAAATTTGATAATTTGCAACACAAATTATTTGGGGTCCTATATTCAAGATATAGCATCAACTTATCTCATATCTATGTTAAGAAACTTCTCTTTTGCTTAGGGAGTTTTTCCTATTGTGTGGCTGTAGGCATTACCCAGGAAACTGAACAGAATGATATGTAAACAGTATGTAGAAATCATGGATTTCAAATGTGTATCTTGGAAGTCCAAAAATGTGATTCCCAATGTAATTCATACTTAGGTTTTTACTTACATATTTTAAGATGTTATAAATACAGATCAAAATATGGTAAGGATATTATAAAGTCAGAGAAATTATTTGTTACTATAATAATCACTCTTCTACAATGAATGTCTGAGATACTATGGTTTGTTTAGAATTTTGAAATGAGAACATTTCTAGCAGTTTTGTTCATTTGGGTCACAGCTGTGACATCTGTTTGCACGTTTACCAAATGGTTACTGAATTACACATGGCTAAGAAAAATAAGCTTTTGCAAAAGCCTATTAATATTTGTAGCACTGAACTGAACTCAAAGCTTCAAATGGGCTTTTGTAAAGGAGTCTAGGTTCTTGGCAACTTGGGATAAATGTTGGCCAATTTCTTTAGCCATCTGCAAATAAATGTGTATTAGATAGTGATAACTCCATAACAGTCACTGCTGATCCATATACCTGTGTAGTTTTTTTTAAAATAAATGTAACAGTGTAATATACTAAAATATCATAAAGGATTTTCTTTAAAAGCAGATTTATTCCTACTTGCTAGTAAAGTTGAAGATGAAATAGGCTGCACTGATTATTGCTTCTCTCTTACAGAGACTCACCTTGAGACATGTTAACAGTAACCAGTGTCTCGATGAACCCTCTGAAGAAGATAAAATGGTGCCCACCATGCAAGACTGTAGTGGAAGTAGGTCCCAACAATGGCTGCTGAGGAACATGACCTTGGGGGCTTGAAGACCATTTTCCCCAAGCCATGAAAGTGTCTACACTTTTATTTTTTCCATTATTTCCATTAGAGGAAAATACTAACTTTGCTGAATTGAAAGTTTTAAAATTCTTTTTTAGTATTCTAAAACACAGTTATCATTCATTTTTAGAAATGTTTATTTCCCTACTAAAATTTGTATCTGATTGAAGAGCACATTAATAAAACATGAATAATAGTAAACTGTTACTAAACATTGGAACAATTTGAAAAACAAAGTTTTTGCTTTACAAAAAAGTCCTTATTGTCCTATGTCATAGGATTAGTTAGGGAGAAGGTATTTTATTTTTCGTCATCACAGTGATTGAAAAAATAATGTAACTGCCTTATAAAACATCTTCATTTTGAAATATTAATTGCTTTATAAACTCACTACATGAAATTCATGGAAACATGTTGAATTCCTATGTCAACAACAGGACTACGTATTGGATTATGAACCCTGAACTCATGGTACAAAATGTTAGGTTCCAAATTTTGTATCAGGAAAATATTAAATAGGATAATGATTTTGTAGAATCCTTACAAAGCATCATGTTTAAACAAAGAAAGAAAATAAAAATTCAAAAATTCCATTTCAATAAGCAACTTAAATTCCAATCAAATAGGAAGAAATTATACAGATGTTGAGGTTTAGGATGAAGCTAAACTGAAACAAGTGTTGTAAGATATTGTAGCTGGGTCACTGTCATTCTTGAGACAAGTTTAGAACAACAACCCTGCTCCCAGAGCTGATGTCACAGACTCAGGACTCAGCAGTATTGTGTTTTCATAAACCCTGCCCTATTTTGTCTCTCTGAATGCTGTGGTTTGTAACCAACATTGTAATAGAACTAAAGTGAAGGGTAGAGTTTTAGCATAATGTCCAACTCTTTCTCTTTTAAAGATTATAGTTAATTCATTTTTGTCACTTTTGCTTTGTGTTAAAAAATATATTGCAATCAGATTTTCATTCCTGCGCTGTGACATCATTCTATAATTTTATCACTAGGAGAGTAAACTCAATGCACACTCATTAAACATTTATTCTCATTAGACTGCCAAGTATCATTTGCCATAAATTCTGGCTCAAAGAATACATTAATAATTAGGCTAGTTTTACAAATTCTCTCCATCTAAAAAGTCTTGTTCAAAATACACAAATAGTTCATATGAAAATGAAGATGATTCTATAAATGAGATTTTTTTACTAGTAAGGTTTTTTATTTGACACCATATTAAATTCTTAAATTTCCTAAATTTTTGAGTAAAAGATTAAATGTTAGCGCTTTTACTTTTCAGAATATAGGCTCAAATTTACATCAAACTTAAAATGGAAGCTGAGATTCCCAAGACATAGTGACTGACAGCCTTTAATTGATTATGTCTTTTTGAGTCAGCTGAGACTCTAATAATCCCATTTCTCATCTTTACTTTTTTTTTCCTTCTCTTTTCTTATCATCTTGACTAAAACAGGGTAAAATATTAATGTGCAACATAAAAAGCTTAAACTTTGTAGGATTCCTTTATTTAACAGGTGTCACTTCTTTGTCGCTCAAAATGCATATATTGCCAAGAAAATGGTGAATGATGAATTCTCTAAAATATAGCTACTTCGTGGAAACTGAATTGTATTCATTTTGGTGTATTTTAAATAATTGAGAGTGTATCTGTGGTCACTGTGAAAATACAAGAAAATCTAACGGCTTATGTTTCAAGCGAAGAAGATTTTTTCAGAGACTTCAGCTGTCTTTATACATGCCAACATAGGTCTAACAAATTTAAAAAAATGACATACAATATTATAAAACACTCAAAACCCTGGAAGCAATGATTAACATTGTTTTGTTGGGTTTTATTTTTTTCCCAAAAAAATGCTTGCGATACTGAGAATTAAAAGCATGGTGAAATTTGTAGTGCATTCGTCTTACATAGCACTTATCTATTGAGCTGACTAAGAAATATTTCAAATTGTTTCAAACCATCCTCTTCTGTGCCCTTTCTCATCGGAGCTAATGCAACTTCAGCCTTTCCAGATGCTCATATGAAAAATCTATTGGCTTCTCCTCTTTTAATTTTAATCCATCACAAAGTTCCCTCGATGCTTCCTTTAAAATGTATCCACAAGCCAACGGTTTGCCACCACATCCACATTGGCATTACTACTTATATTCTTTTTTTTTTTGCAAAATGTTTATAATTTTTGAGCAACTTTTGCCAATAGTTGTCTCTTTTTCTCAATGGAATAGCCAGAGTGGTTCTGTTTAATATGAATTTCACTGTGGCATTTCACATGCATGGTCCTCCGATCGATTTTCATCTGTCATCAATTGTATTTGATTTATTTATTTATTCATTTAATTTTTGTTCTTGTTGTTGTTTTTTGAGGCAGGGTCTCACTATGTAGTTGAGACTGACCTGGAACTCACTATGTAGCCCAGGCTGGTCTCAAACTCACAGCGATCCTCCTGCCTCAGCCTCCCATGTGCTGGGATTACACGCATGCACCACTATGCCCAGTTTAAAATCTTTTTATTTATTTATTTTTGGGGGTTTGTATTTGAAATCCTTCATAATGACACCCCTCACTACACATTCCCCCAATCTACTATGCAGAAACACACATACACGCACGCACACACGCACGCACGCACACACACACACACACACACACACACACGCACGCACACACTTCACTATGCTTCCTATCTCTTACCATTCTGCTTTTTACTTATTTTACTCTGACCCTGAAGCAAGTTTCTGTCTAGTCTTTGGCTCCCTGTGCCCACAGAGCTCTCTTCCTCCCTTTCTTTAGGCCTTAGGCAAACATTGTCTCATCAGTAAGGCAAACCATTGTCCCACTTGCTGTCTGTATCTCCTGACTTCTGACAAACTATAATTTTACTTCTTCATTTCAGCCTATTCTTCCACTTGTGTGCGCCCTACAAACCCATGATGCACTCTCTAATATGTCTTTTATTTTTATTGTTGTTTTGTATTTTGGTTTGTTTTACATTACTGGGGGATGAAACCCAGGGCTTCACACATGCTAGCTAACTGCTCTATCATTGCGCTCTACCCACTGGCCTATAAGACCTTTTAAAGCCAGCGTCTTTGTCAGTTCTGTTCACCGGATATCCTCATCATCTGGTATAGTTTTTTGGCACAGTATCCTTCAAATATTTCTTGAATTAATGAATTGGAGAGTGTATTAAAGTTGCTAAGTGCGGCAGTATTGTATTTTTTGTATGTTAAACTTTAGTGTTCAGTAATGTATTTATACAGAATTTGCATAACTTTATCTCCAAATGAAATTTTTCTTCCTAACACCCTTCATATTAAAATACAAACTATATGTTGTTTTCTATTATAAAATATCCTGCCTTATGGAAATGAAATATGACGTTTAATAGAAATGCTGCTACCTTATAAAAGTGCTTCATTAAGCTAAAACTAATTTTAATTTTAGTTTTCTGGTTATGTTCAGTGGGCCACTTTGGAAATATATGTACATTCCCTTAAAAGTTGTATTTTCATGGTTTCATACTTACTAAATTTATTATCTAAGCAGGCCTATGGCAAAAGATAATTTAAAAAAACTTTAAAGAGCTTTAGAGATGATCCATCATTAGTTTTCTTGATGTATGTAATCAGCCTGAGACCCAGATGCATAATGTAGTTTGCCCAGGGATCAAACAGCTATAAGCAGTTTTCCAGTACTCTTCATTGTTAATATAACCTAATGTGTCCCTCGGAAATATTATAGAAAGGACACAGTAATGAGAAAAAGGTCTTCATTAAAAATTAGAACACTGTTTAGAAATATTTAAATTTGACTATCTTTCATGCTTAAATAAAATTAGTTCTTTAAGCAACAAGGCCTGGAGGAAAAAATAAAGAGATTACCTGAAAACATCATGATTATTGAACAATGAAATATCCTAGCATCATTTGGCAAACTGAGTTTCAGGGAAATAAAGCAAATCCTCTTCAGTAGCAACTTATGGAAAAGTCTCTTCCATTTACATTATAATGATATTAGTTAAAAGTAATGTTGGCCTCCAAATTGCACAGAGAATTAGACCATCTATAACTGTGAACATTAGATGTTTTCTGTGTTATACAGCTTCAAAGACTGCAGATAATCAGCAGGTATTTCTAAGCTTCCCAATGTAGCTCTCTAATAAAAAATAATCCATAACTTAATTTTACACTGGTTCTTAGAATCAGCCTAATAAGAAGAAAAAAATAAAGGGAGAGGAAAATATTTTCCCACGTGCATTGTTTTTACCATTTGTGAAATAATGATCATATACGATCACAGCCACTACATATGCATTTCCTCTTAAGATGCTAACTCCGGTGTCAGAGGAGCAAAGCTTGTGTGCATTCTTAAATTAAGATGTATGATGATTTCACAAATATTTTAAAAATTTAAGAAATGGAAGCTCCGATGGATGTATCACCACTCACAAATGGACATTCTGCATAACTGATAACGTTGTCTTGATAAATTTCCTACTTTATTGGGCAGTGCACCTTCAATTGTCTTAAAGCAGCTTGTGTCTCAGATTCAGCCACTGCCTATTATTTTCCAAAATATGTTAAAATATGGAAAATAAAAGATTGACAATTGTTCTGTACAGTGGAGATTGTGTCTGATGTGATTCCACCATGTTTCAACTGCTATTAAATGTAAGCTGTTGTATGAATTTAAGGTGTTGAGTGAACACCAGCAATGTGTTTTAAATACTTTGTATAACTTTGTGCCCCTTTTATTTTATATTGTTCAATAAATTATAAAGAAAATTTTCATTGTATGCGCTTTTAAAATCCTTCTCAAATAGTAGTGATGCAGGGCAGTATTTTGTTAACTCTTTTAAGTCAAAGGCCACTTCTGTGGTCCTGTCATCATTATATAAAATTATCATTTTCCTTTTATTTTAAGCCCATTTGAATGACAGAATATGAGAAATTACATGATTAAGGATATATGAATGTCTACTTTTAAAAATTAAATTTTCATCATGCATTCAATTGGTGTAAAAATGAATATAAACAGCTGCTTGATTCTAATTGTACTTTCAGCTAAAAAAAATAGCACAAGGGAAAAAGAAGTTGATGAAAACTTTTTTGGGGGGAGCTTTTGTGTTTCCATGTAGTCACAGCTAGAAAGAAGTCATTTCAACAATGTTTTAAATATTTGCTTGACACAATTCTTTAACATTTATACAAGTAGGTTGTGCATAAAGAATTAAACATTTTAAATAATGTAAGCATTACTAAATGCTACAATTGTTCTTTTGCTGTAAATTTAAATATTTATACATTTTTGTAGAATTAAAATATGCAATTTATTTTTTCTTTGTATATGTTGTCTTTTTTAATTAACATTTTAAATAGATAAACAATTTCACCATTTCATATTCATGTTTGATGTTGTAGATTATTTAAGTGCCTATGAATTTCTCTTAGGAGCAGGAAAACATTGTGATCCCCTTACGGTTTACTAAAAATATATGAAAATAGAAATTTTTAAACTTGTTTAATTGGACAGTATTGATTATTTTAAATTTTTTCACAATGATTTGAGACTAATCTCTTATTTTTCCCTTTGTAAAAATGACATGAAAGGCCAGGGATTTATCTCAGTGGTGCTGCCACCTACTGTGCAAGCACAAAGTCCTGAGTTCTATTCCTGGTACCAAATAAATAAATAAATAAATAAATAAATAAAATAAAAAATAAAAGTGACGTGAAAAGTGATAATAATTTCTAAAGATTATTATGGCTTATACCCAATTCCTTGGTCTCAAAATAAAGTCTTTCGGGGTTAGTGGTGGGTGAAGACCTCTCCACAGCACTGATATTTCTCAGTGTCAACCCTGCAGTCCTAGCCACTATAAGAATCACTTAATTTGCTAACATAGAAGAAGAAAGAAAATAACGAAAGGGGGAAAAAGGAGCATCAAGGAAAGAATAAGATAAGAAGAAAGGATTTCAATAGTTTATATTTACATAATTTTATGGAAATGTGTGTAAAATGTCCTTCATATTAGGTTTGTGTGATTTAGGAGTTCACTGGTTTACAGACATCATGAGAACCTCACTGGTTTTCTCAAAATGTTCTGTAATTGTCAGCAAGTGTAAAGATTATTGTCTATATTCTGTGTTTTACACTCAGTTTCTCCTTAGCTTTTTATAAACTCGATGGGACTCCATGGACCCCACTCTTCCACTTTTGTGTTATTCTTGTCTCTGAATACAACCTCACATTTTCAGTGCTAACCAGCTACTTAGTTTAACCTGATAAATCAGTCTCACACACCTAAAGTTTTGCCAGGTCCATAACTTACTCTAGTTTTCTTTTCTTCACTACTTGGCAGAAATAAACTGAATCTATGGTAATAGCCTGTGTTTTCCTCCTTGTAAGCCAAGAAATGGAGGAGGTGGCTTCTCTTCTGACTTATTCTTCCTGACAGAAATTATCTTTGCTTTATGATATACGATGGAGGATATTAATTACCTCTATTAATCCCTGCCTTTATTATCAGAAAGAGTTGACAGTGAATTCCTTTTGACAGAAATCTCTTCATCAACTTGGAAAGTTAAGTACAAATCTAATAAATGTGCAAACACCTGGGCCAGGGATTTAGCTCAGCGGTTCGGTGGCCTGCCTTGCAAGCGCAAGGACCCGAGTTCAATTCCTGGTACCAAAAAAACAAAACAAACAAACAAAAAAATGTGCAAACACCTAAATGAACTCCACAACATGAGACACAGGAATGTGGTACAGCAGGCACCCTTACCACCTGATACCTTACATAAGGTAGAGATACGACTGTGTAAAAAACCCAGGTGAGCACCATGAATAACAGTCATTAAGATTAATGAGACCTGTGCTTTCAGATCCTGGATCTGCACCTTGATTTCCCGGTGTGATTGTGTGATTGTGTGCCTTTAAATTGTTGTGTAGGGTTAAATTAAATATATAGAAGCTGTCTTAGTTACTTTCTCAGTGCTGGAAAAAATATATCCAAAATACAAAGTAAAAGGAGGAAGGGTTTATTCTGGCTCACAGTTCATAGAGGTTTCAGTCCACAGTCACTTGGCTTCAAAGCAGGCCAGCACAGCATAGCAGAGGGGCATGGCAGAGGAGAAAGAGTTCATCATGGCGGAGCAGGCAGGAAGCAGCACAACTTTCTTATTCTTTCTTGTTATTCCATCCAGGTTGCAAGGGTATTGGTTGGTGCTACCCATGTCCAGGGTAGGTCTTCTGTTCTCAGTAAATATGTCACCCACACCCAGCATTATGTTAAACCAATCAGCAGACTAACCAGTATCACCTGACCACTATCTTGTCCCTCACCATAGCCCT